CTTCTTTGTTTGTTTGTTTTTTGCAGCTGTGGGGCTTGAACTCAGGGCCTGGGAATTGTTCCTGAGCTCTTTTACTCCAAGTCTAGATTTCTAGAACTTTGACCCACAGATCTATCTCCAGTTTTGAGTAGTTATTTGGAGGTAAGAGTCTCAGGATGCCTTTTTTTCCTGGGCTGGCTTCAAACTGCAATCCTCAGATCTTAGTCTCCTGAGTAGCTAGAATTACAGGCATGAGCCACCAGCACCCAGCCCACAGTATTTCACAGTATTGTGAAAATACTGTACAGAGGGGTTACAATTACATGAGCAAGGTAATGAGTACATTTCTTATCAAGCTTTATTGCCTCCTCCTTTGTTCCCTTTCCCATCCCCTCCCCTCTCCCCTCCCCACCACCCCCATAGCCAAAGTTGTAAAGTTCCTTTTTTGACATAATGTTTTGTATATCTCATTGTTGCAATGGGTCAAAATTGTAAAGTTCGTTTTTTGACATAATGTCTTGTAGATCTCATTGTTGCAATGGGTCAACTTGTATCCCTATCTAAACAATTTGTTTTTTCCCTTCCCCTCCACAAATTATGCCAACATCAAACACAGTGAAAACTGGGGTTATACCGTGGGGGAGGGACATACAAAACAACAAAGAAATCATCTTATAAATATGTTAGAAACAATCGCAAGAAAGAAAAACCATTTGAGTCCATATCTTGGGGTTCTTTATTTATTATGTATAATGTATTTATTATGAGCATTGTTGCATTCAAGAAGCCTCATGCAGGAGGTAACTTAATGACATGATATTTCAAAATAAATTTCTTCTCACTAGGCTAAAATTCACATTTCTTTTAGTAACTGCACTTACTTTTGGATTTGTTCTTCATTTCTAGCTGGTTCTCAACCGTTCTTTTATTTTACTCCTCTCTATATATAGGGCAGAGCTGGAGCCCTTGATGTCAAATTGTGCAGCTCCTTTTGGATGACTGCATTGGAAGAAGCCATTTGTGACCTTCCCTCTTTCTCTTACAAATTCATTATCACAATGGAGGCAGATTATTTCCCAACATGGGACATGCCATCTCCACATGACCTGACAATCACTAAGTAACTTCCACGTGTCTCCTAAATCTCTTCTAGATCAATGTTCAAGCAAAAGACATAATAGTCTTGTTCCTGAATCACAGAATATCCAACAGATCTGACTTTCCTTTAATCATAAGTTCCAACCTCTACTCTCTTGATACCAAGTCTTTCTTTCATTCAACAGAATGAAGCAATTTTCTCAAACTCCAAACCTCTGTAAGTCAGATTCCCATTTGCTCTGTAGAATCTCAGTCTCTCTTATGTATGAAAGCCCTGTAATCATATAGTATGTAGTCATATACTTTCTAGATTTCATTCCTCCTCATCTCTCCAATGCCTCTACTCACACTTGGATCCAGCAATGGTCAACAACTCGCTTCCCAGAGCTTTTTAAAGACCTGTGGGGTTTTCTGAATCATGATTCTTTCTAACTATTGTTGTCTTTTCTTTACTCTTCCACGTGAAAAATTCGTATTTCTCCTTTTAACATTCTGTGCCAGAATTATCATTTCTTTGATGTCTGTCTTAGATCTTCCTGGATATAAACAACTATAACTAACAGTGCATGCTCTCATGATATATAATACACCAAACTAAATAAATATTTATTAGGAAAATTTGTTTTCCCTTCTAAACTGAGAGTTCTTAGAGACAAGGATTATGTCTTATGATGCTTTGGATCTCAGGAAACTATCAAAGTGTCTGAGAATAGATAGCTACTTTATAATTATTTATTATAAATAAATGGATGGTTTCTTACAAATAAATTATATATGTCCTGTATAATCCCTGGGACTGAATTCTAATAAAGGGAACACTGGCAGGGCTTATCATTCATTTAATGATGAGGACATGGTCTAATACTATGCATTTTAAACACACAGAGGGTCAAAGTTAGACTGACTAGTAAAGAGCCCACAGTAGTGTCCCTTATTCTTAACCACTTTGTTCAAGAGTCCCTCTATTGAACCAATTTTTTTGTATTTTAATTTTTTTATTGTGAAAATATCTTACAAAGGGATTACAATTACATGGGCAAGGTAATGAGTACATTTCTTATCAAGCATTGTTGCCTCCTCCTTTGTTTCCCTTACCATCCCTTCCCATCTCCCCCACAGCCCCACTTCCCCCTTGCCCCCTTAGTCTTCATCCTCCCCCCCTCATCAAAGTTGTAAAGTTCATTTTTCAACATAAGGTCTTGTACATCTCATTGTTGCAATGGGTCCACCTGTATCCCTATTTAAACGATTTGTTTTTCCCCTTCCCCTCCACAAATTATACCAACATAAAATACAGTGAAAACAGCGGTTATACCATGGTTTGGAAAGTAGTATGAAGGTTCCTCAAAAGCCTCCACACGACCCAGCAATCCCACTTTTGGGCATTTACCCGAATGATCACAAACAAGACCATACTAAGCTACCAGCGCAACTATGTTTATTGCAGCGCAGCTAAGATGTGGAACCAATCCAGATGCTCCTCAGTAGATGAATGGATCAGAAAATGTGTATACACAATGGTCTGTATACACAATGGAATTCTATGCCTCCATTTGTTAGGAAATGGAAAGACTTGGAAAAAATTATATTAAGTGAAGTAAACCAGACTCAAAGAAACATAGGTCCCATGGTTTCCCTTATTTGCAATAACTAGTATATGTCTGAGTCAAGCAGAAACGGTCAGATAAGTTGATGTTGGGTGAAATGAACCCCAAGATAAGGACTCAAATGGTTTTTCTTTCTTGTTATTGTTTCTAACATATTTATTGAACCAATTTTAACTAGCATCCTCCCTCCTTTTGTCATGATGACTAAGATTAATGTGTAATAACTAAATAGTCTAAAAGTGTTGTTTCCCAGAAGTCTCTGAGGGCAAAATGAGAAATGTACTATTTCCCTTTTTATACTGATAATTATATTTTCTACCTCCTATTTCCCACTGAGTTCTTCCTTCTTTTCCTCATAAACTGCACACTTTACTTAGAAGCAAGAATATATAGCACTCTGTAACTAATGGCCCTTTTATGAGTTAATTAACCAAAGAAAATGGTGGTGAATAGACCAAACCTTGGCATTCATGTCATTTGAATCTTGTTCTATTTCTACTTCATGAAACCTGGTCTTCTTGAAAATGTATAAGCCTAGATGATAATAAACATAAATTAGTTTATCTTATTTCAAATAATGAATCTCTGAAGCTGGTACAATTTGGATTTCACTTAGCTAGTGTGTCAGATATTAGAAATATAATTAAAATGTAAGCCTCTTGAGGGCAGGCATTTTGACTTGATTCTTAGTGTGCTTCTTGGAGCATCCACAGCAGGGAGAAAAGATGCATCAAGACAAAAGTGCTGTGGTCTCTATGGAGGTTTAGAAAAAAAAAGACATGAAATCCAGGCAGTCATAGAGTTGGGGGAGATTTCAAAGTAAGCTCCTTCTGAAGCCTAAAGGGTGACTACAACTACTTAGCTAGGCAGAGATAGTCCAGACACACAAAGGGCATGGACACAGCTTGCATTTGAGAAAGAGAAGGGCCCATTTGCAAACCCAGAAAGATGTGCAGGTATGCCTAGGTTCACAATGCCTATGAACTGGCATGGAAGTTATGAGGGTATTCATATGTGTGCTCATATTTATAAGAGAAGATATTTTAGTCTTACAAAATTCAGTAGCTGCCTGGCATAGTGTTTGTTAGGACACACCTTTTATTCTACTTGGGAGACTAAGGCAGAGGGACTGCAAATTTGAGAACTGACTCTATCCCCAAACAAAATGTTAAAAAGCCTGAGGAGGTATCTCAGGGGTAGAACACTTAACCTAACATGTGTAAGATCCTATTGGGTTCATTCCCCGGTAGGAACAAAAAGTTCAATTAGATATAATAAAAATTCAGTTCCATCAACCCATCAAACCTTTGATATTTAGTCCAAGGCCACCAATAGAACTAAACATTTCTATTAGCTTTTTCATCATTTACTTTCTCCTGAAGCTAAGTTTTAATGTTTTTGTATCTATTTAATTGTCTCTTAACCTTGACATTTTGTTCATATTTCTAAATAGTTTCACAACCAATAATGGTACAGCCGAGGAAAGAGATATGAACCTAGTCACCTTGTGTGAAATTGTTATGGATAGGAAAATCGTGACAAATTGCAAGCATTCAGATTAAAAATGAGTAGTAGAAAACCATCTGCTTCTCAATTGGGGTTGGAGTACACAGAGACACGTGGCAGAAGAATAAGGGTGGGAGACAGACTGGTCGGTCCTGGAGTCCCCGGGTCCATGTCTTTCATTTGCTGAATCCATGAGACTCTCATCTTCACCAGCTCTGAAAAGGATCCATACAGTTTGCCCTGCCATCTTCAGAGATGTTCCCCAAATCAAAACAGACACTCTATATGAAGTGATGCACCTAACAATTATGTTGTATTCACTTATGGCATAAGGTTATCTGCTATGGTAATAAAAATAAAAATTAGCAGGGTGTTAGTGGCTCATGCTTGCAATATTAGCTTCTTAAGGGGCTGAGCTCTGAGGCTCACAGTTTGAAGCCAGGTCAGGCAGGAAAGTGCATGCGACTCTTCAGTAACCAGCAAAAACCCAGAAGTGTGACTCAAGTGGTAGAGGAATAACCTTGAATAAAATTGTTCAGGGTCAGTGCCCAGGGCCTGAATTCACACACTAGGACCAGCACTACACACACACACACACACACACACATACTATATGCCTTTTCAACCACTACATTGTACATGGAAACATGTACATTGATTTAGATAACTGAAATGAAAGCTGTATTCTTTTTAAAATTAAATGGAATTTATTTATGTTTAAAATTAAATTATGGTACAAATGCAGTAATTGTAGTTAAAATTGCTATTTGAGTGTGAAGATGACACATATTGTATTATTTTGTCTCTTAGAATGATTGAAGATAGTGGGAAAAGAGGAAATACCATGGCAGAAAGAAGACAACTGTTTGCAGAGATGAGTAAGTATGGAACTTCTAACGAACTCCCTATAATTTTCATTGATTACTTGTGGATAGGCTAGAAATAACCATTTAATCCTTATGGCACTTCTACTTTTCCTTAATATCTGAAATCCCTTTCATAAAGCATGCACTTGTCAATTTTCTCATATTGGTTGAAAGTCAGGTTTTTTCCATAATTCATACCACATTCCATATTACATATATATATGTATATATAATGTTTATGGACTTGTAGATTTATGTCTACACACAGACACCTAGACACCTGAGAAGCAATGCTTAGTCTTGACATTACTCCATTCCACTAAACTCCAGGGTGTATGTCAGCACTATCACAGTGGCTGGCATAGTGAAGGCACTAGGTAAAATGTGTGAAATGAATGGTTTAATTCTCCCAGCCATATGAAAAAGACTTAAGTATGGATACTGGACAAACTTTCACCTGTCATTTCTAACACATATGGATGAGAGAATGTGTCCTACAAACAAGTGGGGTTTATTAAACATAGAAGAAGAACCAGATTGCACATAACTCTAATCCCTGCAGCACAGGGAACTCCCTGTCTCAATAAATATGCACATACATACATGGAAAACAAAAGGAGTGACTTTTTTCAAAGGAAACCAAGATAAGAATAACTCCTAACTCGACTGGAGAATCTATGAAACAAAAACTATGGGTTTATGTCAATGGATAGTTCCTATATAATTAATTGGATGGCAGTATATCATTTATAGATTATTTTTTATTTATAAGGAACTTATCTCAAGTATTATAAAGAAAAAAGTTTAATTCTCTTTTTAAAGGACTTCTCCTCCCTGAGAAATGAGTAAGGAAGAATAGGAGTGAGATATAAGCCTCTTTCCCCGAAAACAGAAGGAGAAAAAAAAATTAACCTTCTTTCTAAAGATTAGAAGTGATTTGCAAGAATGAGAGTCAAAAGAAGATAAAGGTCCAGATAATAAGACTGATATTTTCATTTATCATTTCCACCACCAAGGAAGTATTAGAACTAACTAGGAGGAAAGAAAATTAAACTTTGTGTGGGGAATCTCAATCACACTCTTCACTATTTTTTCACTACTTTAAAGATGACATTACACTTGGACATGATTAATTAAACGGCATTCCAAACATTCACACAGTGAGAACAAAGGAGGATATTCTTAGTAGAGGATCAGATCTGCTCACAAGGTGCATATGTGCATATGATCATATAAAATGATGCTTATTGAAATGAACTCCAAGAAATATAAACAAGAGGATTTTTTTATTATTGCATGGTTTGTGGTTCTTTATTTTCTTTCTTTCTTTTTCCTTTTTTTTGTTTTATTCCCTTTTGTCATTGTTTTTTATTTGAATACCCTTTGTCTTATATATGTTTATCTGATTTGGGGAGGGGAAGAGGAACACAGAAATGGTCTAAGCAGTGATACCAGCCACTATATTGGAACTGAACTATACAGCTTGGAGGGGAGGAAAGTAAAGAGGGGGAAAATCTGGGAGAAAATGAGAGAAGAGGAGATACTGATAAAAAAGAAATGTACATATTACTGCAACCCCTCTGTATATCACCATTACAATAAAAATTTAAAACTAAAATAAAAATGACCTTAAAGTGTTTGTGGCAATTTCACCCAAGACTTTCCAATACCATAAGCCACATTTGGTTCCATTACTTCAGTCTGAATTTTACTGACCCCAATCCATCACCGATCCCCTAGAATTATAATCATTTGTGTGAATTCACATCTTTGTGAACAAGAAGCCACATATTGCTTGCCCAAGTTTCAAACCAGAGCAATAAATTTTAGTGTTCTATTGCACTGTGTGTGACTATGGCTCAAAATGTATTGTATATTTAGAAATTATTAAAGTAATAGGGGTTTTTTTTGTCCATCGTGGGGCCTGAACTCTGGGCCTGGGTGCTGTCCCTCAGCTCTTCAGTTCAAGGCTACTGCTCTACCACTTGAGCCACAGCGCCACTTCTGGCTTTTTCTGCTATTGTAGTGCTGAGGAATTGAACACAGGGCCTCATGCATGCAAAGGAAGCACTCTACCACTGAGTCACCTTCCCAGCACCAAAGTAACAGATTTTTAACATTCTCTCCTCAAGACAGTAAGTTAGTAAGGGGATGGATGTGCTAATTAGCTTGATTAAACCTTTTACAATGTGTATAGATCAAAACATTACCTTGTACCCCATAGAATACATAGAATTGCTTATGTGTTGATTGACAATAATAGGTGATTATTTTAGAAAAATACATTGTCTATTTAAATAGACAGTAGCTGGAAATGTATAGAAACTATACTTGGGGGAAAACCGCTCAAAAACTTGTCACAACTTGCCCATCTGAACAAAATCCAAAGTAGAACAAGAATGAAAAAGAGAAGATTTCTTACATCCTAGACTAGTGTTCTGTTGGGCATGGAGAAAATATTAGTAGTTATTATTTTTTAAAAATGAAATCTGGCAGAAATCTTGGAACTTATTTTTGAACCACTAAAGAGTGTAGCAGCTGGCTCACTAAAAATTACAGAAACATCCTTATTTCATGATTTTGTAGATATTTAGCTGAACTTAGGTACACAGCTTCTCCTGTTCCTGATGCAAAACCAGGCAGGAATAAAGAGATATTGTGCAACTAATGTTACTGATTCAAAATTGCCTGACTCAAAGAAAGCAAGACCAATTTTGTAGTCATAGAAACAGAACAACTCTAAATCTAAATAGTGAGATATAGGATAATTGGGCATTCATATCCCAAATTCTATCTGTACCTTTTATGAAAACTGCCTGGGATTGCCATGATGCCTATTCAATGGTCTTATAAGCTCTACTGGTTGATAATTAAAACAACAAAGCAAGCCAAGCCCAACACATCTACATCTGTCTCCCCCAGATATAGGAAAGACTTTCAGATGTCAGTCAAAGACAGATAAACATACATGATCTTAATAATGCATTGGTTTGAGCAATGTGTTCAGCTCAATTTTAGGAAGGTCCTCTCAAAGTAGAATTCCACTTGACCAAACAGTTGAATGTCTTCACAAGGAGCAATCTAGATAGGCAGAATGGCATACAGACAGATGGATATATTTAAATAGTTAGAAAAAGATATAAATGGCCCCAGCTCTATCAGCAGAAGGAAGCTATTTTGTCATTTTCAGGAAAATGAACAGAACTAGAGATACCATGTTAAAGCAGATAACCCAGACTCAGAAGATAAATGTCTCATGTTTGTTTCCATCTGCTGAATCATGGTTTAAAAAACAAACAAAGGCATGAAAGTAGAATGGGGACTGTTGGGAAAGAGAAAGAAGACCAATGAGAGAAGGGAGAGGGGCTAATAGAGGAGATAGGATACTAGAGGCATGAATATGATTTTTTAATGTGCACTATATTTACACAAATAAAAAATGTCATAGTGAAACTCATAATTAATATTAATATCTGTTGACCAAAAAAAAAAAACAAACTAAAAACTATTGTCAGACAACATTATCATGTAGACTTCAAAAGTAGATAGACTCTTGGTGTCCAGTGGTATATGGTTTTCAGGAGATGCTATGGTATACAGAAAAGAATGTTCTGGATTTACATAGTTTGGTACAGTACTCCATTCATTTTTCCCATAATGCCACCCAGCTGCCCCTAAAGACATGCCGTCTTTCAGTGACTCTAAAATTTTTGCTTTATCACTTGTACTAAGCACATTAGCTTTTCCCTTGGTTTTAGGGATATTCACTTTGCTTTTGGGGAAGTCGATTTTCACAAAATTAAGGGCAAGTAAACACTCAGCTGATCACAAAATGATTTAAACACAACTGATTGAGAGCTTACAGATATGCTATGCATGTGCAAGAATTTCTAATTTCAGATTTTTGAACTTTCTTTTGATTTCTTTTAAATTAATTTTTTGACTGAGTTTGGTCAGAATCACATGTAATAAGTCTTTGAATGTAATGAACACAGATTCTTCCAGGAATCTGTGTTGTCTACACAGAGAACAATGAGGAACTTGTTAATTTGTTCACTTAAATTTGTCTAGAAATATTTTAATACAAAAAGCAAAGGAATCCACCAGCCTCTGCTTTAGAAATAATTTGAAAGAAAAGCAGCATCAGACAGCGCTACGTTTAAAATTTGTTGCAATAAGGAGAGAGATTAACTTCAAATCCACTGGAACAATAGATAGGCAGGTTTTTAAGCCCTGGAGGGCTAGTTGAAAATTACCAGAGGTCTTTAGCTGAGAGCTTGGTCCTGTGATTAAGCAATTGCTAATTGTAAGCAATCAGAAGTCCAACACTTCCTCTCCCTAGGCAACTAGGAGATAGGACTCTGACTTCCAGGATTACATCCAAGTGTTGACTTAAGAAAGTCATTCTTAGATTGTAACACAGGCTAGAGACCTGGAAATTTACATGTCAAAGGAGCAGAGGGAAATTTTACAAAGAAGTTAACTGCTCTTAGAAAGTCTGGAGATGAGTAGTATGTGGGGGGAGGGGAGGGCGTTGGAAGGGGAATGTAAAAACCCTCCTGGGCTTAAAAAAGGAAGATGTGGCACCAGAAGCAGGAAGAAACACCCCCCCAAAAAAAAGGGTCCATTAAGAATTGTAGGACTGGGTGCTGATGGCTAATGCCTGTAATCCTTGCTACTCAAGGGCTAGGATCTAAGGATCCCAGTTTGAAGCCAAATGGGACCCAAAAGTTCCTGAGACTCAAGGTCCTGAGACTCTTATGTCCAGTTAACCAGCAAACTGCCAGAAGTGGAGGTAGAGATGTAGATCAAGTGGTAGAGCATCAACTTTGAGCTAGAAAAGGCCCAGGGAGAGCCTGAGGATCTGAAATCAAGCCCAGTACACACACACACACACACACACACACACACACACAGAGTATGGATGCACAAATAAGCAGAGAATAAAAGACCAGCTTTCTATTTTAAAACCTATCTGACCACCTAGTTTGATTTTTTTTTTTTTAAGATTT